GTTTCCTCCACCAAACTAAAGTTCTTCACAGATGTTTTAGTTGCCAAGTATCCTTACTGGAAGATTCAATAAAAATAACAATGTCAACAGCAACTACATGATTACTGTCCCACAGTCATTTATGTGCCATCTCTGTGCTAATCACTTTGCAGTGGAATCCCATTATACACATACATAATAGATTTCAACTGATGCATACCAGGGAGTGAGAATACAACTAGTGCAGGCAACTATGCCTCATTCCACTTAATAACTACTCTAGAGACAGTGAGAGTCACAAAAAGACAGAAATCTGTTATCTTATTTGGTCTTTGGTTTCTTGATGCCCTTTTAGATGTCAATTTCCTACTGCATTTAATATGATTCTAATATTTAGATATATAATTTTTTTGTACAACTTGCCCCCTAACTGCAAGTCAACTGCTTCATCTGTTGCAAAGGCGTCCATTCTGACAATGTTCAATTTTCACCTTGCCCAAGCAAAGTTTCGCTCCCATGTACAAGCATTGGATCATTGAATCCTTACAACCAACTGAGGTAAGGGCTATTACTTCCATTTAACAAATAAAGAAACTGAGGCTCAGACAGGTGAAGATATCTGTCCAAGGTCACACAGCCAGGAAGTAGTGGCAGTGCACTTTAAATTGAATCTGTCAGACTCCAGAGCCCAACGTCTTCCCTACTATGCTATATCTACTGCCTCACAAAAACAGAGCTTCATTCCCATGGCTAAGCCAGCCACTCTCTCTAGAGAGAAAGGCCCATATAAGCTATGCTGAGCTGGATCCCTTGGAAACCTTCCCCTTTCCCCTGGGCAACGGGCAGAAATAAGTCTATCACCTGATGCTTTGTCATTGCATCCTTGGCAGTTGCTAAAGGGCTGGTTCAGAAAACTGGAGCTGACCCAGCCCAGGTGATGGGCTCAACCTTCCCGCAACCTAGCTCTGAGGAAGGACTGACCATTGTCCCCAACTCTGCCCCTGCCCAACACCTGCTCCTTTCACACCCCACTTTCTTCCAACCCTATGCAGAGCTAAGGGGCCACAACAGGGCAAGAGAGCCGGCCAGGATGCATGGGAGGAGTCGGAAAACTTCGGCTCTAGGCTTGGCTCTGTTCCTTTCTGAATGAACTTGGGGAAGGGCCTACCCCTCTCTGGGCTTCCATGTACCCCTCTGCACAGTGAGGGACTCAGGGCTCAATATCAGAGGATACTGTAAACTCCAGTGGTCCATAGATTTGTTTGCAGTAAAAATCCAGTCTAAAATAAACAGATGTCTTCCTATAGAGTTCTCAAGTTTTTATTTAGGGGTAGAGATGTTTCTCTTGGATTGGATTTGATTTTATTTTTTCATGTGTTTAACCAGTTGTCCCAGTTCCCTTATGGAAAAGGCCATCCTTTCCCTACTGATTTGTCATGCCACTTGTCATATGTAAACTTTCCTCACAGATATAGACCTATTTCTATGCTCTCTTTTGCCCCACTGGTCCATTTGTTTTGCTACACCAACAGTACATTGTCTTGGAGCCCTTGTGGCACAGTGGTTAAGAGCTTGGCTGCTAACCAAAATACTGTTACTTTATAGGCAATTTCAATATCTGGTAGAGTGAGTCTCCCTTCTTGTTCTTCAAAATTATCTTGGATATTGTTCACCTTTTGTTCTTTCTTACATACATTAGGATCAGCTTTTCAAGTCCCACAAAAAATCCTGTTGGGATTTTGATTGGAAATGTGTTGCAATTGACATCTGTATGATATTGAGGTTTCCTGCCCACAGTAGCTCCTTTGGGAAGCAAAGGAGTGTGGCCTGGGCTCTGAAATCAGACCACGGCTAGAATTCCAGCTCTGTGATGGGGGACAAATCACATCACATCTCTCAGCCTCAGTTTCCTCAACTGTATAACAGGGTTGATAATAGTACCCACCTCACTGGATAATCATGAGGATTAAATGAGATAATGCATGTGAAGCACTTAGCACAGTGCTTAGCACATAGTAGATGGTCACTGATTAAAATCTGCTATTAGTAATGATTATCCCTTCTACTCCGATCTCCAAAATTGTTATCTGCTTCCTGCATGCCTTGCCAATGATGCTCCTGTCCCTGGCAAAAGTCCCAGACTCATGAGAGTGATGAGATACACAATTTCCTTCTACCTCCAAATATATCCTCTGATACTGTCCCAGGAGCTCAGAATCCAGGGCTACACTCTGACCTCAGGCTCAATGAGGCATTGGTTGGGCTTGGGGGTTGCTCCTTTCTGGAGTGGGGCAGGAAAGGGCAGCAGGGGTCCAAGTCCCTGGGTCCTCAGTTCTGGCCATCTTGGGAGAGAAGTAGCCTGCTGAAACCCTAAATTATTAGCCTGGTTCAATGGGAAGGGCAGACAGAAAGGGGAGGCAGATTAGATGACAGACAAGATGGAGTAGACAGCTGGACAAAGATAGCATCTGGGAAGAGCTGGATGGACAGAAGACCCTTGGAGATCATCCTGCCATGCTCCTGCCTCCAAACTCAATGGTGCCCCAAGCTTTTCAGACATTTGGTGGGGAGGGGGGAGCTGTGCTCACATTGTAAGATCTTCCTGGGAACCCTACCTGATCTTCTACCACCCACTTTTCCTCCCCAGCCAGCCAGAAGAAAGGCTGTGAGGGCCTCTAGAGAAAGAAGGAAGGAAAGGGTATATGTGGATACTCACCATGCAGGTTGAAGGCTCCATTCCCAATAAATAGCAGCAGCAGTAAAAACCACTGTCTTCCCATGGCTCTGCTGACTGATGGTCCTAGAGAACTCTGGGAAGGAGTCCTGGCCCAGAATAGGGGAACAGACGGTGGCTCCAAGAGAGTGAGGCACTGCTGGCTCTCAGTGCCACCCCTCACCAGTCTGCTGAGTACCACCCAGGCCCTCACCCCTAGGTGTCCAGACTCCTTCCCAGCAGGACCCAGGGGGGCTTTTCAGGGCTGGAACCAACGCTAATGGGAGGGGGTTGGAGGGTGGAGTTTCCCATCAGGTGTAAGCAGTGGGTGTCTGGGAACTCCCATTCCAAGTGGTAAATTTCCCCAAGGCCTCTAATTGTCAGCCTTTGCCGAACAGCTTGGCAGAACTCTGGGCCTTTCAGCCTTCCCCCTACCCACCACCAGTGAACCTGGGTGTTAGGAACATGATTAATCCCATCAGTCCCCCACCTCCTGGGCTGAGAACTGGCTATTTGATTTTAGAGCTAGAGATCAATCTCACCCTCTCCCCATTGTACAGAGGGCAAAAATGAGGCCCAATTACTTGCCCAAGGACTGGAATCCAGGTCTCCTGTCCTCCGAACCTGCTCTTCCTATTGCCCATGACTGCCACAGGCTTCTCAGAGTCTCTCCATTGTCTAATTCAGGAACCTGCTGTGGCTCTCAGTGGCCTTTGGTACAAAGGTCCCAAATAGGCTTCACAGATCCTGAGTTCCCCACCAGACTTCATTCCCTGACCATTGTCCACAAAATTTTCCTGCTTTTCTCCAGCAAGCTTCAGTACCCCAAAGCCAAGACCCACATTTGCCCCATGATGGAGTTGCCTGTACCTGCATAACTTGGTCAATGGTAACCCCATTAGACTAGGACCAGTCTCCATCTTTAGACAGGGAGGCAGAGGGTAAGGCTGTGTCTCTGGCATCAGGCAGGGGCTGCCAACCATAAGGACCAGTCTTTCTCCCCTAAAATTTAGGAACCCAAGGGCAGGAACTATATCTTTACCATTAGTCAGAAATTTTCAGGGCTGCGGATTCTCTCTCCCATGAGACTGGAAGTTCTTGAAGGCAGGCTGTGACTGTCCCATCAAACAGACAGGCTTTTAGAGGGAAGGATCCGTGTTGCCGCTCTCACCCCCACCCCCACCCCAGTCCTGGGGCAAGGTTTCCCCAAGGGGGTGGAGGGTTACCCCAGTCAGACACTAGATCTCAACACAAAACTTTATTGTCAATATACAAATGCGTGGCCCACCGACCTCGCCTTTCTCCTCTAGGTGCTTGGGTGCACCCAGTCCCCGCCCAGCTCTGGGCTAGAACTGGGGGCCAGGGATGCCCATGCTTAGGCCGAATCCTGGCTGCCTTGGCCAGCATCCTCCTTCTGGGCTCATCCTTGGTCACATCCAGCTTCCTTCTTTATCCTGACTCCTCCGGACCTGGGGGCTCGCAGGCACAGGCCCTGGAGATGCTACCACCTTCACAGCTCCAGGCCTCTCTGACCAGGTGCAAGGCCATTCAAGGGAGGGGAAGGGCTCAGGCCAGGCTCTGCCAAGCCATGCTAGGGATGCAGGAAGATGCAGCAGCTGGGTGTGTTGCATGTGTGCAGATCCCTTGGCTCCCATCCTGCCCTCTCAGTGGCTGGTCTTCTGTTTATTATGGAGTACATTTGTGGTGGATTCCTGAACCTGCAAACCAAGAGGTCTTCTTGTCAATAGCCCTACCCTGACATAGCAGACTCTCCCTTACTCCCTCCCTCCAGCCTCAAAGGCTGCCCCATCCAGGCTTCCCAGGGAAGTCCTTCATATGTCTAACTCTAGCCTGCCTACTGCCCCTCTGAGCTTGGGAGACCAGGCTGTGGGCATTCACAAGGTTACAGGTCATTCTATCCCAGTCAGACAGTATAGCAGGCAGGGAGAGAAACTAAATAATGTGGGTGTGTGCCTTTTTCTCCCCAGAAGCTTCCTCCTTTAGAAGAGGAAACAGGAGGAGGAGGCTGCTCTTATGCAGCCCAGACAGGACTCAGTTGCCCTAAGCCTTCCATTAAGCAGGAACTGAACTGGTCATACTAAGAAAGACTGGGTTTGGGGGTGCTGTTGCTGTTAGTTGTCCTCGAATCAATTCCAACTCAAGGCGACCCCATGTGTGCAGAGTAGAACTGCTCCATAGGGTTCTAAAGGCTGTGACCTTTCGAAAGCAGACCACCAGACCTCTCTTACAAGCGTCCTCTGGGAAGGCTCAAACTACCAACATTTTGGCTAGCAGTTGAGCCCTTAACCGGTTTGCACAAATTGCCCCAAAGGGTGGAACCTGATGGGAGTGGGCGGGGCCTGTTGTAGAAGGAAAGGGTGGGACTAACAGGATTGGGCAGTAACTCCAGAAAGTGGAATAGACAGAAACCTTGACTCGTGGACAGAGGCTGGGCTGGATGGGGCGGGGCCAAGTCTGATTGGGTAGAAACAGAAAGAAACACCTTTTCCATGTTAATGAGCGCAGTGATCAAATCTTGCTGGCGGTCCCGGATGTCCAAGGAGGTCCAGCTCTCCATCTGCTGGTTCAGGGACATGCCCCTGTACATCATTTCCTCTTCCTGCTCCTGGTTGAAGCGTATGGATCGTACCTCATCCACGATCCTGGGGGCGGGGCAGTGAGTGCGTCCTGAGGCTGCCGGGAGGGGGGAGGAGGGGCAGTCCTCCCTCCTCTTCCCTGGCGACCACCCCCCTCGCCCTCCTCCGCAGCCCTGTGAGATCCAGGCCGAGCTGTGCCCTCGTGTGAGATCGGGGGAATTTGAGATCTGTATTCTAACTTTCACCAATAGGCAAGTCACTTTAACTTCTTGGGTCCCGGGGTCCGCATTGTGAATGGTGAGGGCGTGAGGCCAGAAAATGGAGGCCAAGCCCAGCCCTGACTCACAGGACTAGGGTGTACCGCCCAGTACCACCCCTACGTGTTGAGCTCATCTCGGATCTGCTTGTACTGCATCAAGTTCTCCTGTATTGCCTCGAGCACCAAACAAAAGTTGTCGCACGTGGTCTCCGAGAGGTTCGACAGGGCCCCCCCGACCAGCGGCTCCTGGTGAAGGCCGGACTTCGGCAAGCGGGCGGTTATACAGTGCACCAGAGGCAGCTGGCTACCCTCGTTCTCCTCCTCCTCGTAGCCTGTCTGGGGAGGGGTTAGTGGAGTGGAGAGGGGACTCATGGTTCAGGCTGGCACCACCTCCCCCAGCCCTTTCCTGTTTGGCTTGCAGGGAGGATTTAGTCTCTTAAGGATATCAGGGTTCTAATGCCCCTCATTTCAGCCCCAACCAATCTCAGCCTCTTTACCTTGCTGTGGAAGCTAAACCTGAAACACACAAACCCTTCTCCCACTTTAAAGGGAAATTCGCAATCCCTTTCAAAACTTAGCCCCTAAACCTTACCCTGGTAAGTCCTGCCCAGCAAATTTCTAAAGTTCTACCTACTCTCAAGTCACAGGCCTCAATATCACTTTGGGAAGTACCCCTGCCCCCCAACCTTTTGGAAGCTCTACCCATGAATGAATAAGACTGTAGCTAACATTTATTGAGGGCTTACTATGGTCAAGCACTGTGCATTAACCCATGTAATCCTAACAGCCCTATGAGGTAACTACTATTCTTATTCCCATTTTACAGAAGAAGAGATCAAGGCTTAAACTGGTTAAATGACTGGAAGTCACCCAGCTGTTCAGTTTGTGGCTGCCATAGAAACATGATATCTAGGAAATCCTCATCCATCAGAAACCCCAACTGGTGAGTTGGCACTCAAGGTGGGGGGATGCTGCCTCCAGGTCTCAGGCCTGGCTTTCTCCAGGCCCCTGCCCATACACACTTGCCCTTAAGTGTGTAAGCATACACACACATTCACATATGCTCAATTCGGCATTTACACATACACTCCCTCTCCTCCCTCCTGCCCTGCCCATCCCACTCACCTCACTGACGTTTATTTGATGCTGCTGCCCTTGTTGTCCTCTCTTCATCATTAGCTCCAGGTTGGTAGTCACCACGACGACCAACAGGTTGATGCCAATGAAGGCACCAAGGGTGATGAAGATGGCAAAGTAGATGGCGCCCCCAATCTCCATTGCATACTCCCTCTTCTCCATCCTGGAGATGGCAGGCAGGGGCCCCATCACCTCCCTAGCCCCTTGAGCCTCAGTTTCCTCATCTATGAAATGGGGATAGTATCCTAACGCCTACTGGAGCTTATGTCTGCCTCACTGCTGTTGCACAGATCTAATGTGCTAGTCCTAATTGTCACAGCAGCTGCTCAGCACTGTGCACCTGCTGTGCTGCGAGATAGTGGACCAGTTCTCAAGCCTTTCCTGCAAGGTAGGGATTTGTACATCATCATGATCAAGTTTCATCTCTTAGTGCTTTATATTTTTCTTATTGTGAAAGTAATACGGACTCATTATAGAAAGATCAGAAGAAAATTATGTAGGCAAAAAAAAAAAAAATTCCCATCCACTCTTGAGTTAACCACTATTGATAGCTTGTTATAAAATCTTCCATAAAAAAATCTTCCCAGATGTTTTTCTCTCTCTCTAAATACATATAAAATAAAAGTAGGACTACTCTGTGCCAGGCTTTATGCTAAGAGATCTATATTTGTTGTTATTAGCTGCCATCGAGTCAGCCCCCAACTCATGGCGACCCCATTTATATAGATTTTCTCTGTTGATCTTCACAGAAATCCATGACATAGTTAATGCTGTAATCCCCAGTCTACAGATGAGGAGACTGAGGCTCAGAAGAGAGATGAAGTAACTTGCCCAAGGTCGCACGGCTAGTGTGGTAGAGCAAAGACTCAAAGCCCCATTCATCTTTATTCTGCAGTCTGTGATTTTTCTACTACCGACATTGTAATGGATAATGACTGGGGAAGCCCTTCACCAGCTAGGCCTCTACCTTCACATGAAGGGGGATTCACTTCCTACAGTAGACTAGAAAGTAGGGCTTAGACTTAATGGCCAAAATGACCTTGGGCAGCAGGTCTAAAAATGAATGAAATGAGACCCTGAAGTTCTAGTAGTCCAGAACGTTTTGCGGGTTCCAGTGTGGGCTAGGAGACTGCCCTATAGCCCTAGGCTCAACCACAGACTTGCTCCCTGTCCAAGGCCTAGCTAACCTAGCTCTTTAGCATGTTGGGAGGAGTCTCCATGAATAAGCTAGGGGTGACTTTGAGTGGATGGGGTTTCAAGAGGGGTAGGGTTTCCAAAAGCTGACCACAAACGTAGAGGCCCATCTCCTTTTCCCCAGTTTAAAGGTCCAGGCACCCCCTCCAGCTGGGCCATCTTCATCCCAATACCAGGAGTCCTCACTCCCATTAAGAGCCCTCTCCCTCCCCAGTTAGTTTCCCTGACCCGCAGGAGCTCCAGCCTTTCCCTGCCAGGCTGGGATGGGGGTTGCATGCTCTACTGTCACTCACTGGAAGTCACTGTAGATGTCCACCCAACCATCCTGGGTGATGCAGATGAAGAGGGTGTACAGGGCAACCTGTATGTTCTGGAAATGTTTGGGCACGAACGCACCAAAGAGTGTGACCCCAAACACGGAGAACACCTGCAGGGAGACCGAAGCCCCGCCCTGACTTCACCCAAGGGCCCTGGAGACAGGACATGCCAGTGCCATGCAAATGAACACTGCCAAGGGAATCGAGGGGATTCAGACCCACAGGCATCTCCCCTTCTCCAGACACCCCCAACCCCAATGACCCAGGGACCCTGTTCAAGGAAGAGGGGAGGCTAGAGATGGGGGAGGGCACTGACCAGCATGAAGAAGAGGATAAGGGTCATGATATTGGCCATGCCAGGCACTGACTGCACGATGACATGGATGATCCGGGCCAGGGGCTCCACCGCCATGCACACGTGCAACAGACGAAGCGCCCTGTGGCAGAGCCTCTCAGGGGTGCCCCTCAACCCTTCTCAGAACCCTCCTCCTCACTGCCCCACCACCTGCCCAGAGAGGCAGAGCTGATTACCAACTGGTAACAACCCCTCACCACACTCCCGGCTGCAGACAGGACTCCCTCTTCCCTCCAGAACTCCCAGCTCACCTGAGGGTGTAGGTGATAGGGATGACATCTAGTTCTTCAATGAAGGTAGCCAGGAGCAAGATAAAGATGATAAGGAAGTTGAGGATGTTCCAGCCGTCCTGGGGGGTGGGCCAGCCCCAGTGGGGTCTGTCAGGCCCAGCTTATGGGGGCGTCCTGGGTCTGCCCTCCCCACACCCCAAGGATGGGGGGTCCGATGTTCCTCTGGGAGCAGGGCCAGTCAGCTGCCATCCACTGCTGTTACTCGTCCTGCTGCCCCCACAGCATGCCACTGAACACACGTGAACACACTATCGCATACGTGTCAACAGCAAAGTGCAGTCTCAGAGACGCACAGTGGAGACCCTCACATCTATACAGCTAGTTCCACCTTGGAAGCTGAGCGCCCACCTTGGTTAGCACACTGCTGAAAATGGCCTTGTCCTACAGTTAGGTGACCCGAGAATGGGCACTCCAGCCAGTGTGTGGCACACACTACAATAAATAATAAAATGAAAACAAATGCTAATCAAAACATCAAGGAACACTGCTTCAGTAGCCAGTTTGAAGGCAAAATAGCTCTCAGTACAAGGAAGGGTGACGCTCAGCAGAGGCAGGCCTACGGAAAATAGCGCCTATGGCAAGCACTGAAATCGTGCCGCTGCAGGGGCATAGAGAGGGTAATGAGCGCCCAGGGGCAATCTCTAAATTGCAGCCCCCCCAACACCCCACCCAGTTTCAAGATGAATAAATATTGGTGACGTGTCGGCAGAAACACCTTCCCCCTTCTTGTCCAGCTGCTTCAGTCAGGCATCTTTCGTATTTGTGGCACCCCAGAATGTCATTCCTTGCCTAGTCTGGTACCCCCTTGGACTTGAGCCTGGCGGCAAGTGCCGCCCTCTGTCCCCCCTCGCTATGCCTCTGTGTCTACCCTGCTTGAGGAAGGATGTTGGGCCATACTGGGCTAATAGAAACTGCTCAGTGGCGCCCCCCCCTTCAGGTGGCATCCAGGACACATGCCATACCTGCCATACACATGCACACACACATCCATCCATCCACAGTTTACAGGACCAGGGGTGGGTGGACAGTCCCAGGGAGTAGGGTCAGTGGCAGGGAGGCGTACAGGGTCTCACCTTCCAGAAAATCCAGAAGCCGTTGAGCCAGCCAAGGAGAACCTCACAGATAAGGATGGTCAGCACAATGTCATCTATGGTAGAGAACAACTCATAGTGTTTCTACATGGGAGACAGAGAAAGACAGGGTGGGAGAAAGGTCAGTGGAGTGGGCCCTGGGCAAGGCCAGGGAAGACAGGATGTCTGCAGGGGAGGGAGGGAAGGGGAACAATAGTGTCCCCGGCCCATGTTACTGCTTCTTTTCATCCTTAGCATCTTCATCGCTCCCTTTGAAGTGCACTTTCCATGTATGTACCAGGTATGTACTAAAACCATACATGCATCATTTCACGTTACCATCCCCGTCACCCTACAGAGTAAATTTTTTAAATCTATTTTATTTTTGTCATTGTTGTTAAGAATATACACAGCAGAATCTATATCAATTCAACAATTTCTGCATGTACAATTCAGTGACATTGATTGCATTCTTCAAGCTGTGCAACCAATCTCTTCCTCTTTTTCCATGTTGTTCCTCCCCCATTAACATAAGCTCACTGCCCCCCTAAATTTCCTATCTAATCTTTCAAGTTGATGTTGTCAGTTTGATCCCATATAGATAGATATTAAAAAAGCACAATGCTCAGGGCAGACATTCTTTACTAGTTAAGCTAAACTATTGTTTGGTTTTAAGAGGACTTCAGGGGATATTTTTGGTTTAAGGTTTAAAGATTATCTCAGAACAATAGTTTCACAGGTGTATCCAGCCTCCATGGCTCCAGAAGTCTGGATTCTACAAGAATTTAAAATTCTGTTCTGCATTTCTTTCATTTTGATCAAAGATTCTTCTATAGAATCTTTGATCAAAATATTCAATAGTGGTAGCCAGACACCAACCATTCAGTTCTCCTGGTCTCATGGCAAATGAGGCAGTTGTTTATGGAGGCAATTAGCCACACATTACATTTCCTCCTCCGGTTTGGTCCTGACTCTCTTTCTTCCTCTGTTGCTCCAGGTGAATAGAGACAATTGTTATACCTTGAAGGAGGCCTGGTGGCGCAGTGGTTAAAGCGATCGACTGCTAACCAAAAGGTCAGTGGTTTGAAACCACCAGCGGCTCCACAGGAGAAAGATATGGCAGTCTGCCTGATACATAGTCAGTGCTCACTAAGCGTTAGCTATAAAGAAAATCAATTAGAAGCCCCATGAATTCGACCCCTATAGAGTTCCCAAATGCATCTGACCTCTTTTCACTCACTGCCACTCTCCTAGTCCATGTCCCATCATCTTTCACCTAAACATCTGCAATAAGGTCCTGCCTTATCTGTCTTCCCCTACCCTTGACCTCCTCCCTTCCATAATCCATACTGTGACAGCCAGTCTAAGTTTTCTAAAACACATTTGGTGTCACTTCCATGCTTTAAATCCTTCCCTGGCTTTCCACTGGTATCAAGATAAAAGCTGTCCTCCTCAGCATAACTTAAAGACTTTCACGATCTGACTGCTGACCATCTCTCTGAACTCATCAGCCACCACACTGGATATTTTTAAAATACTGATTTTAAATAGCACAATACATGTATATATACTTCTTGTAAAAAATTAAAGTATCAAGGATAAGATCCAAGGCTCCAGAAACTGACAGAATACCAATTGAGATGTTTCAACAAATGGATGCAGCGCTGGAGGTGCCCACTCGTCTGTGCCAAGAAATTTGGAAGACAGCTACCTAGTCAACTGACTGGAAGAGATCCATATCTGTGCCCTTTCCAAAGAAAGGTGATCCAACAGAATGCAGAAATTATCAAACAATATCATTAATATCACAGACAAGTAAAATTGTGCTGAAGATCATTCAAAAGTAGTTGCAGCAGAACATTGACAGGGAACTGCCAGAAATTCAAGCCGGATTCAGAAGAGGACATGGAACCAGGGATATCATTGCTGATGTCAGATGGATCTTGGCTGAAAGCAGACAATACCAGAAAGATGTTTACCTGTGTTTTAGTGACTATGCAAACACATTTGACTGTCTGGATCTTAACAAATTAAGGATAACATTGTGAAGAATGGGAATTCCAGAGCACTTAATTGTGCTCATGAGGAACCTGTACATAGACCAAGAGGCAATCGTTCAAACAGAACAAGGGAATACCACGTGGTTTAAAATCAGGAAAGGTGTGCATCAGGATTGTATCCTTTCACCACGCTTATTCAATCTATATGCTGAACAAATAATCAGAGAAGCTGGCCTACACAAAGAACGGGGCATCAGGATTGGAGGAAGATTCATTAACAACCTGCAATATGCAGATGATACCTTGCTTGCTGAAAGCAAAGAGGGCTGGCTTGAAGCACTTGCTGATGAAGATCAAAGACCACAGCCTTCAGTATGGATTACATCTCAAATTAAAGAAAACAAAAATTCTCACAACTGGACCAATAAGCAACGTCATGATAAACGGAGGAAAAGATTGAAGTTGTCAAGGATTCATTTTACTTGGATCCACAATCAACACCCATGGAAGCAGCAGTCAAGAAATCAAACTTCGTGTTGCGTGGGGCAAATCTGCTGCAAAAGACCTTTTTAAAGTGCTAAAAAGCAAAGATGTCACCTTGAGGACTACAGTGCGCCTAATCCAAGCCATGTTATTTCAATTGCCTCATATGCGTGGGAAAACAGGATTAATAAACAAGGAAAACTGAAGAAGAATAGATGCCTTTGAATTATAGTGTTGGTGAAGAATACTGAATATATCAGAGACTGCCAGAAGAACGAACAGATCTGTTTTGGAAGAAGTACAGCCAGAATGTTCCTTAGAAGCAATGATGGCAAGACTCCATCTCATATACTTCGGACATATTTTCAGAAGGGACCAGTCCCTGGAAAAGGGCATCATGCTTGGTAACGTAGAGGAGCAAAAGAGAGGAAGACCCTCAACAAGATGGGCTGACACAGAGTCTGCAACAACGGGCTCAAGCATAGCAACGATTGTGAGGATAACTCAGGACTGGGCAGTGTTTTGTTCTATTGTACATAGGATTGCTATGAGTCAGAACTGACTCATTGGCACCTAACAACAACAACAACACTTTAAGCTGGATGTGCAGGACTGTCTCATGTGCTGTCTCTTTTGCCTAAAACACTCTTCCCCACCCTCTTTGCCTGGCCAACTCCTACTCATCTTTTACTCTCAGTTTAAAGCATCGCTTTCTCCAGTAATCCTTCCATGACCACCCAGAGGAGGTTGGAATCCCTTCTTTAAGCTCCCACATACTCTGTGTGATACTCAGGCATTTGTAATGACATGCTTGCATCTGTCTGAGACAGGAACTGGGTCTGTTGTGCTCATCCTGGAATGCTGACACCCAGCACAATGCCTGGCACAGAGCGATTCTTTGTTGACGTCTGTTAATGAAAATTGGATACCATTCCCCAGGAGGCACCCATCTGCCTGCCTCTGCTCACACCATTCCTCTCTTACCCTTCCTCTACAAATCGACTGTATCTCTCAAAGCCAGAATCCAGAGGCCCCTCCACCATGAAGTCTTTCTTGGTCTCCTTCTAGAACCCCAGAAGGTCAGAGCTGACAGTCCTTGAAGAGCATCCAATCAACATCATAGACAGATAAGGAGCCTGAGACTAAGAGAGGGAAGTGCCTTGCCTCAGGCCTTCCAGCGGAGTCAGAGGGGGCGGAGGTCAGGCTGCTGTCCCACCTGGCGGAGGACGGAGTTGGTGCGGATAGCGATGGTGATGGCGTTGACCACCAGCAGCAGGGCCAGCAGCAGCTGGAAGGCTGGGTGTCGGAGCAGCTGCTTTACATATATGCGCGTGATGAACTCATGCATGTCCCAGGCATCCTGGGAGAGGGCAGGGGACCTTTCTTTAGGCAGGCGTCACCGTAGGAGGCCTCTGCCTGGACATTGCTCTCAGTGAATGGGGATCCCTGGGGAGGCCACTCTAGGGGGGAAGTTGCCTGAGAGGGGATCATGGAATGGGGGCATCAGTATAGAGGTCAGTATCTAAACAGCTTCTAAAAGTGGGTCACTGCTGGGGTTCTTTCTGGGGGTCATTGCAAGGAAGTTTCTTTTGGGGTCTCTACTGATAGATGACTATGGGAGTCATATGGGGACCCTGTGGGGGCGCTGCCAGGTGGTTACTAATATATTGTGCAGTGGAGGTCACTGCTGGGGAGGTTCTTCTAGGGGAACGTTAAGAGGGCAGGGGGACAGGGTCACCATCCCATGGGCACAGCTGTAGAAGGGTCAGAGGGGATCACTGCAGGCCCAGCTCTGTCCCGCCCTTACCACGTTACTAGTGATGTCCCGGCGATTGATGAGCACTTGCTCCTTTGGCTGGGTGTAGGGCTCCTGTGGGGTACTCTGCAGGGGTGAGGAGAAGGCCCATCAGTGCAGCTGCTGCTCCTCCCATACTCCACCCTACCCCAGGGTGCCCAGCTCCAGCGGTGGAGCTAGGCTAGAGCCACCTACTAGGATGGACAAAGGTTTGATGTTGATAGTGCCTGTCCATTGCTGCCACCAGATTTTTTGGCTGTTATTCATAGCTGCTCAGTCTCCTACTCTTCAAAGAAATTTCATTCCAAGCGGCCTAGTGCCCCCTCGTGGTGATATCATAGAGGCTTCTGTGACCTCCAGCTCCACATTCTACCAAGGAATTCCAACCCTGAGAGAAGCTCCTCACACCGCCTCCCTCTATACCCCATAGAGGAAGCCAGAGACACTGAGGGGATGTGCTGAGGTCAGAGTCAGAGGCTGATGGGAGCAGGTCAGGTCTCCTGCGCTGCGCAGCATGAACGATGGAGGCACGGGAGTGTGTCCCTGCTCTGGGTTCAGGAGTTGGAGGTGAGGCTAGGCTAAGGGGAGAAGAGAAAGGTCTCTCGCCCAGAGCCTAACTTGCGCCCCTCCTCACCAGTTACCGCAACCCACTAGCCCAGCCTCCAGGGCTGCCCAGCATGCCCTCCGTACACAGCATCTCTGGGCATTGGCACCCTTCCCAATGTGAACCTTAGTTTCTCCATCACTCTATGACCCTGGGGATGTGGATAAGAGTACCCTCTGGCCTCTGAGGGCTGCAAAGAGATGAACATGGATAGAAGGCCTCACCAGCCATGGATCCACAGTCCATCCTCCAGGCAGGTCTGGAGTGCCAGGGACAAAGCCCAGGCCAAAGGGATGCGCAGTGGGCCAGTTACCTACCCTTTGGCCGAGAGTTTTCACTCCAGTCTGATAGCTTTTCATTCTAGTCCCCTCAAGGGAACAGAATCCTGATTGTAATATGGAAATCAAAGGCATGTGGAGATTCATTTTAGAGAAATTGACTTTATTTGGTTGAAAAGTGTCTCTGCGTAAACTGAAGAATACCTGTGGAGCTCTGGTTTGGGGGAGGGAGAACCGCAGAGGGGCTGAGGAGGGCAGGTTTATGTCCCCACAAGTTAGAGGATGAGTGGGAGCGAGTCTCTTTTAGCCCAGGCTTCCTGCTCCCTCTTTGGCAAGGGAGGAGAGAGTGGCACAAAACTCTTTTTTTTTTTACCCCACCCCAGGGGGATGAGCGGGTTAGCTTGGGGTGAAACCATGGACTAGCGCTATTTCCAGCCTCAAACACAGCCCAGGGATGCTCTGTCCTAGACAGGTGAGAGCCACATATCAGAGGCTGGGGGTTGAGGTGGTTCTCAGGGTCAGAGGTCAAGAGGTCAGAAGTTGTTCTTTGGGTTGGAGGCAGGAGATGAGAGTGTTCCTCAGGGTCAGAGGTCAGGAGGTTTGAGGTTGTTCTTTGGGGTCAGGGGGCAGGAGATGGGAGTGCTCCTCAGGGTCAGAGTGGGAGGACTGTTCTCTGGAGTCAGAGGTCAGGACCTGAAAGCTGCCCTCAGCCTGCACCACTCCCCAGGTTCCCAGGCCATCTGAGTACAGCTCCTGGTTCTGCTCCTTCCATTGTCGGAACTTCTCTCCAGTCAGCTCTGGGTCTCCAAGCACTTCCTCCAGGACCTGCAGCTCCTGCAGCTTTGCCTGTGAGGGGAATAGGTGCTAAGGGGCCATGACCACCCAGGAAGGAGGGCAGAGCCCAAGCCCAGAGCTAACCCTGGAATCCTGTGTCTAGAACCCAGCATCTGGCCCAGTCTAGCCCAGATCTTTGAATCTAGAGCCTAGCGCAGGGAGCCTAGGTGAAAGTTCAGATTCCAACTCAGAACCTAGAACCTGGCCTGTCCACAGCTGAAACCAGACTGGAGCATGGAGCCTAGAGCTGAGCCTGGGGTGCAAAGCCCAGGATGGAGCTGGGAGCTAGGAAGCAAAGCCTGAAGCCCAGAGCCCAGCCCCTTGCCATGCCCAGTGCCCCCAGCCGACCTTGAGTGTGCTCTGTAGCACCCGCACCCGGTGCACTCGCTCATTGAGCTGGGGTTCTCGGTTACGCCGCATGAAGGAGCTCCGCCATTGCTCATGGGTGAGAGGTTGTGGCTGGCCCAAAAGGGACACACCACCTTGCCTCAGCCCCCGTACCATTCCTTCCAGTGCCCCTTCACCACTGTCTGTGGGGAGAGGAAGCAGGATGAGAGTGTGTCCACGCTAGCCCCCATCCCAGCTCCCAACCCAGCATAGTACCTGTTGGAGGGCTGAAGGAAGTCTGTGGGCTGCCCTGCATGGGGGTGGCTGCAGGTGATGTGTCTCCACGGAGGGGGCTACAGGCTTGGGCTGGGCTGGGCTGCAGGCAGGGTGGAAGGAGAGGAGGGTATTAGACTGAGTTCCACACCCTGCTATTCACCCAACACCACCTACCCCTACAAGCCCGCTACTCACTGAGGCTGAGTGGGACCCAGCCTCATCATCAGGGTCTTCTGCTTCTGTCTCACTGTAGCAGTCTGGCATGGAAAGAGCAGTTGGGGAACCCATTAAGTCTCATAGGGTTTTAGGGGGCCAAGCTAGGGTTAGGGTAGCTAAGTTCTCGGCCCCCAACCCAGGAAAAATGGAAATTCAGGTGAGACTCGGGTTCCCTTTACCCACCCCTGTGAGATACCCACCTTCCTCTCGGGGTTGGGGGGCCTGGCCTGGAAACTGGTACTTGGAAATGCAGGTAATGAGATGGCGCACCCACCTGTGGAGGAGCAAGTGGGTCTCAGGGAGAGACTGGAACTGCAGTCATCAGTTTCCACTTACTGAGGCCTACTGTAGCTCTGGTGGCACAGTAGTTAAGAGCTCGGCTGCTAACCAAAAGGTCGGCAGTTCAAACCCACTAGTCACTTCTTGGAAACCCTATGGGACAGCTCTCCTCTGTCCTACAGGCTCACTATGAATTGGAATCAACTTGATGGCAACAGGTTTGCTGGGTTTACTGTGTGCCAAAGGAGCCCTGGTGGCACAACGGTTAAGCGCTTGGTTGTGAACCGAAAGGTTGGCAGTTCGAACCCACCCAGCTGCTGCGCAGAAGAAAGACCTGGTGGTCTGCTCCCATGAAGATAATCTAGAAAACCCTATGAAGCAGTTCTGCTCTTCACATGGGGTGAAGTTCTTCTCAGTCACATGGGGTCACTATGAGTGGAAAATCACTGGAAGGTACCTAACAACAACAACAGTGTATGCCAGAGGCCTATCACTTACATCATCTTCTAATTTAATCCTCAGAGCAACTCTGAGAAGTAGGGACTTTTATTATCCCACTTTCTAGACAAGGAAACTGGGGCTAAGAAAGGTGAGTGCCTTGACCAACTATCAGACCGACTTGTGGGAGCCCAGGCTCCCAAGCGCTCAGAGGTTCGTAGTTGGGGTAGGGGAGGGGGGGTACCCACATGCTCAGATCCTCCAGGGTATCAGCAGCGAAGATGAAGGGTTTGTACACATCGTGGGTGAGCTGAAACACACTGCCGGGGGACAGAGGGGCCATGCTCAGCCTGGGTGTGCCTCCCCAGCACCCAGAGAAGCTGGACTGGGAATCCTAGCCCCATCCCCTAGCCGTTCACACCGTAGGACTTACTATTTTTTCTTCTGATCCTGTCCACTTTCCAGGCTGTAGTTGGAGACATTGATGAGGCCCTCGGCCTTCTCATCCTGGGGGAATCACAGCATAAAGGTCAGCTGGGAACCCCAATATCCTTGAGACCCACTCAGCTCCTTAGTTGCCCAAGGGGGCAGGGAGGTGAGAGGGAGTGTTCTGGGCTCTCTAACCATAGTCTCTCAGTGCCTGGGGCTCAGGCAGGAATCGGGGGTAGGGACGGAGGTGTGGCCAAGGGGTGCCTCTGAGCCAAGAAAGGAAAGCACAAAGATACACAGAGAAACAGCCAAGAAAGAGGGACTTGCTCATGCCTTTGTTCCTTCAATAGAAGGAAGCTGCTCATACCATTGAGATTTGCAAATGCTGTTCCCCCTTCCTGAGGGAGGAGAGTTTCTTTCCCCTCTTTCCATTTAACTAACCCCCAGGCGTCACTTTCTCAGGAAACCTTTTTGACTCCTCAGGGTGGACTGGGCATCCCTGCTGGGCTCCTACATGTGCCTAAGCTTTTCCTTCGTCATAGCATGTGTCCCCTACATTGTCCCCGACTGTGTATTCATCCCCCTCCCCTACCAGCCTCTAAGTTCTAGAATAGCAGGGACTGTCCAGTTCTTCCTGGTGTCCCCAGTGCCCAGCCCAGAGCTGGGTACAGAGTAGGTACTGAAATGTTTGTTGAATGAATACATGATTAAATGAATAGCAAATCACCAGGATGGACAGAACAGAAGAAGAAGTAGTCAGAATAAAAATGATTCTTTCTTATGCCTCCTGAGATACCCTTTACAAACTGCTTTGACACATTGTTATCTCACTCCGAGGAGTATCCCTAGCTTACAGATGGGAACACTGGGGCCCACCTGTGACCACAGATGGGAGTGGGTGGTGGAATTGGGACAGGAACTAGGGCCTGAGGTGACTTGTTTGCTTACCTGGGAGGGAGGATCTCACCTGGGGCTGACGGTACCAGTAGAGTGTGTGTCTTTTGAGCACAAACCAGCAGCGGCGCCAGCGTGCGCCCATGAAGCCGCTGGGCACCTTGCGCAGCAGCAGCCAGCCATCGCAGTCAGGCTGGCCCAGCTCCCGGCATGACACCCGCCGGCGGCTCAGCCGTGTCGCCACCCCTGCACAGCACACCACACCACACCACAGCCAGGTCAGTGAGGGGCTGAAAGGTGTCCTGTACCCCTAAACCTGCTCCCTTGCCCCCCAGGAGCATCCCCAAGTGATCAGAATGTTACATGTATTATTTTTGGGGTGAGGGTAACTCTTCCCATTTTAGAGGTGAGGAAACTGAAGATCAGAGAGGATAAGCCATTGGCTCAACGTCACAGAGCTGGCCCAGGCTGGGAGCCCAGGCCTGTCTGACCCCAGTGACAGAGCTGTTTCCAGGTCAGGCTGTGTGTGAAGTGGGTGTGTGAAGTGTGTATGTGCGGGGGGCTGGACCAGTCCTGTAAAGATACCTAAGAGCTCCTCTATATGGGGACCCCATCCAGTCAGGTGCATTTCATACCTTTTGATTTCTTCCGATCAGGAACAGGACTCTGGAAGGACAATAACGAGATCAGAGAAGAGTCTAGGGCCAGAGCCCCATAACGTTCCTTGCTGAGCCCCTGAGCTTACCTTGTCAGGGTGTCCTGGGGGCTTCGGAGTCTCTGCTGTCTCTGCCAGGAGTGTGGCTGGGGGCGTAGGGGGGATGGGCACAGGCTTAGGGTCAAGGGAGGCAGAGTCTGTCAGGAAGGAAGAAGAGAGGGAGAAGGTCCTGAGCTCAGTGTCAGGACCCAGGGAGGGGTCAAGGTTGAGAGGTCAGAGCCAGGCAGCCCAGATGCCTTGCCTGGGACACTGCCACCTGGTGGCGTAGGGCCCTGAAATTACCTGCCCAGGCAGGGTTGGGCCCAGGACTTGGGCTCGAAGTCAGGTCGAAGGCGAAGACTTCCTCTGACAGGGCCCTGGGGAGAGCAAAGGGAGATGAGATGCGCCAGTGGTTCCCCCACTGGGACACCCACCCAGGGACAGAGCCTATTACCTGGGAGACAGTGGGGCCAGAGCCAGTGACTGGATCCTCAGACACGGAGAGTCCAGGACCTGAGGAACAACCAGAAATGAGGTGATGGAGCTGACAAGAGGTGTCCGAAAGCAGACCGGGGTGGGGTGGGGGTAGCTGGGGGACAGGTACCTGTGGTGGGGTCTCCGGCACTGGGACCCTCTTCAGCACTAGGCTGGCCCCGGCTGGCTCTCGCAGCAGCTCCCTTACCACATTCTTATGGGGCCAGCCCACCTGGGGGACAGGCAGAGGCAGCGCAGAGACACTGGGCTGGCATCAAGCTGGGCAGGAGGCTCCAAAGCAACCCAGCAACTTTCCCCCTCACACTCAGAGCTTGCTCTCAGCCTCCTGCCTCTGCCCAACCTTACTCCTCCTTCAGGAAGCCCACATGAGCCCTTCCCCTTGGCTCTGCCAAGCCATTCTGGCCTACTGAGCTGGTTCATCTCATGGAAGGCAGCTCCCACAACCCTGGTCTCCCAGCAGAACCCTTGGTTCCCTCACCGCCCCAGTCCTGCGTTCTCCACCCTCTGCCCCCCACCGCCATGAACCTCTCTGCCTCACTCACCACCACCTGATCGTTGATCTGGACAACCTCATCTCCAGGCAGGATCTGCAGCCAGGAGTTGGTGGGGACCTGGTGTAGGAAACAGGGTTCTGAAAGAGTCGGCTGTTCTGGGGCCTGAAGCTGGCTTGGTTGGCAGGAAAGAAGGTCTGGGGGTGGGCAGCTGAGAAGGGGGTGGGCTCTCACCTGGGTGCCCACTTGAGACACAAAGTGAAGACAGTTGCTGGTGGTATGGATTTCCAGGCCCTGCACAGAGGTGGAAGCTGTATCACCAAGGGCTCAGGGCAGTAGGGCCAGCAGGCAAGACCCCTGCTGGGCACCATGACTCTTAGGTAGGCTGAGCTGGGGAAAGAGCTGGCTCCAATTTGGCCCTGCCCCAGCTTGCTGTAACTCAGGGTTTGCTACTCTTTTCTGGGCCTTTGCCTCTTCCTCCAAGGGCCAGAGGGAAGCGGGGGTTAGTGATTTCTGCGGCACCAGATACTTAGCAACTTTCCTGAAGGGATAAGCATGGACAGGGGCAGGACAGGGCAGGGCTGGGGGCTCTGGTTTCCCCAACTGGTCAAAGATTAAAGCAGATGAAAGGCTCCTGCCATCTCCCCTAACTTGCCCTCTGAGCCCTGGCCAGGCCTGTGTTCTGGGGCTGGAATGTGCCACCCGAGACCATGCTGCTCAGGATTGGGAAGGTGCTGAATGATGATGAGCCCAGTTAAGTCCTCTGGGCCTCCACTTTAACATCTGTACAAAAAAGGCTTTTCAGCCATAACAATCAAGGCTGCTGTAGAATCCTGGAACAGTATTTCAGAGCCCAGACCAGGCTACTGGGGTCAGAGTTGACAGTTCAGAGATCAGGTCTCACCGAAGGATCGTCCAACTGCACCTGCTCTAGCACGGCCCTCTGCTCCAGCAACTCCTCGGGGCTGCAGCTCAGGATGTGGCGGCAGATCCCGGCCACGTGGCAGCACTGGGAGAGGGAAAGCAGGGTGTCCAGCCTGAGTCCAGTCCCCTTGCAGCCCCCACTCCCTTTCCACCTCCCAGACTCACGATTCTCAGGACTCGGCTCTCCTTCTCAGCCGCTGGGCAATCCTGGAAGCAGAGTGAGAGAGCAGAGGCTGCTCTGAGTAAGGGGGACAGCCTCTTCCTGAGGAAAAAATGGGGTTCCCTATAGTCCCCCTCACTCCCCCTTCTCTGGCCCCCTCCCAGAACTACAGGGCCTCTGAGCTTTGGCCTCCGGGTTTCATCCCGCTGTGACCAGGCCCCCAGAAGTCACATGCCTTTCCCTCCCACCCACTTCTGGGAGTCAAACAACCCAGGCTTCCCCTGCTAGCTGGGGGACCCCATGCCACCACCGCCCTGTACCCAGTGGCTGGGCTTCCTCTCTTCCTGCCCTTGCCTCGTCCCAGCCGTCACACCTGATCCTATGCTGATTCACAGGTTATAAAAAGCTCTAGCCTGATTTGGTCTCTCCAGCCTGGGCCAAGCTGGCTCCTGGATCCCCTACCTCCTGCAAGGCCTGGCCCAGCTCCCCGCACAACTCCCCAATCTCTTGGCAGGATGAGAAGTCATTGAAGTGGGAGAAGAGGTATCTGGCAGGGGCACAGACAGAGCAGTGGTTAAGGGACTGTGCTTAACAATAAAGTCACTTCACCACTTAGAGCTGTTTACTCATCTGAGACTTGGGGGTAATGCCTGCTCTGAGGGGTTGTGGTTTGGATTCAAGAAGATGGTTGACACCTCTCTATAGCCTAGCACAAGACTTACTTGTCAAGTGCCCACTATATGCCAAGCACTGTTCTAGGCACCGAGGAGACAAACATTAAACCCAATTACTTCAATAATGATTTAATTCCAAATGCAGCGAGTGTTATAAAGTATAGGGAGCTCTGAGAGTATATAACAGGGAAAGTTTCCCTGAGGAGGTGACATTTGAGCTGGGACCTGTAGGATGAGCAGAAGTAGCCAGTGAAGGGGTTGGGGGAAGCACTCTGGCAATGGCTGTTGATATGATGGTTTTGATCATAAGCTGGAGGGTACCGAGGCATCCAAGCATCCCTGCATAGACAGTGCAGTGCTGAGGGTGCCCCCTCTTTGCCCTGCTCTGCCACCTCTGGACAAGAGCCAAGCTCTGTCTTTCCCTCCCAGGCCGTTCATCACCATGGAGGAAACCAAGGATGAGAAGGGCCCCCATCAGTCAGTCACCCCGACTTGGGCCAAGAGGAGCCTGCAGTACCTGTTGAGCCAGAAGAGGAGGTTATGAGCCTCATGCACCAGCTCCACAGCCGTGCTAAGGACATCGGCAGGGGTCTCAGCACAGGCCCCCAGACGGCCTTCGACTAAGCTCTGGAAGGTGTGGGTCGCCACCAGCAGTCCCTCTGTTAGGCTCTGTAGGTTGTCTGTCTGCAGTCCAGAGCTCTGTGCCAGTGAGGGGGAAGGTCACCACCCTGGCAGTGCCTATCGCCCGTCAGCAACCCCCAGGATAGTGGATGCTGTAGCCAATGCAGCCACCACTCACTCACCAGGGCCCGGAGCTGTTCCACCCCATCCAGGATGAGCTCTTGGTGGCCCAGAGGCCACACAGCCAGAGCTTCGAGGCTGCGGGGGCACAGCTGGAGCAGGTACTTGCCCGGCAGCTCCCAGTCCTCAAAGGGATAGTCCTGCAGGGAATCATCAAGGCCTGGAGGGAGAGGAGGGGTCAGCATGGAGGGGGCAGGGAATGTCACAACCTCTCGGGCCAGTTCTTCACCCCTGCAAAGCCCTTTCCCTTCCATCTGCTCCTAATGACAACCCTGAGCCCCAGGCTGTGTTCTACTCATTTCAGAGATGAGGTCACTGAATTGAGAAGTAGGATAGTATAGGGTAGTGGTTCTCAAAGGGTGGTCCCCACACTAGCAGCATCCGCCTCACCAGGGAACTTATCAGAAATGCAAATTCTTGCGCTCTACCTCAGACTTGCTGAATCAGAAACTCTGGGGATGGGGCCCAGCTGTCTGTGTTTTAAGAAATGCTCCGGGTGATTCTGATGCTCACTCAAGCCTGAGGACTACTGATATAGGGGACAAGAGCATGGGCTGTGGAGTCAGGGAGACTTGAGCGCTAGTACTTGAGCAAGTAATTTAATTGTTCTGTGCCTCAGCTAAATAGGGATAATAAAAGCACCTACCTTCTAATCATGTGAGGATAAATTGCATGACACATGTCAAGCCCTTGGCCATTCCCTGGTTCATAGTAGACAGTCAATGGCAGCAATCATATTATTATTGCCAGACTCTTTGCCATGACCTACAAGGCCCTGTAAGATCCGGCCACTGCCTGCCTCTTCAGCCTCATCTCCTGGCCCAGCCCCACAAACACAACACTTCAGGCCCAGAGCACTAACTTCTTGTAGCTCCTGGAAAGTTCCCTTTTGCCTCAGGGTCCTCACCTACGCTATTCTTTTTGCCTGGACTGCTGTTCTAACTCCTTCATTCCCTTCTTCATCTTCCCCCTCCAGGAAGCCTTCCATGACTCGCAGGCTAGGTCGGGGGCCTCTCGCTTCCATAGCCCCCTGCACTTGCTATGCCGTATTATGACTGCCTGGCTGAGTATTGGCCTCTCCCAACTTATCAGGAGCTCTTCAAGGACCAGGCCTTGAATAACTATTCATCCCTGACCTGCAGTGCCCAGCCCGCGCCTAGGACCAGGTAAATCAAACCATTGGCATCGAGTTGATTCAGACTCATAGCGACCCTATAGGACAGGGTAGAACTGCCCCATAGGATGTCCAACGCTATAATCTTTATGGAAGCAGACTGTCACATCTTTCTCCCACGGAGTGGCTGGTAGTTTCAAACCGCCAACCTTTTGGTTAGCAGTTGATTGTTTAACCACTACACCACCAGGGCTCCCTGGTACAAGGTAGACACTCAGAAAATAAGAGTAGCATCTGCTGAGTACCTACTATGTGCTAGGGAAAGTTTTAAGGGCTTTACACATATTAACATATTTCATCGTCACCACATCTCTGCGAAGTAGGGACTATTATCCCTATTTTACAGATGGGAAAATTGAAATACAGGGAGGCTAAGTAGCTTGCTCACTCTTGAAGGAATTCTCCCCATCCCGAGTCAGCCTCCTTCACTAGGGAATGGGTGTGTGCCCAATAGCTCTCCCTCATGCTGGTGTGGCATTAGGCACACTGGATTGGGAGTTTAGAACCTGTCACTTCCTGGCTATGGGCCCTCCAGCAACTACCTTTCCACGGACAGTGAAGGTGTTGGACTACCTCCCTCCCAGCAGAGCCCAATACTGAGCTGCACATTCTTTGGGCTTTGTCTCATTCTGTCCACTCCCTGAGGTCAGAGTTGCCTTTCCCATTTCATGGATAAGGAAACTGAGACCTATGGTCACAGAGCTGATAAGTGGCAGAACTGGGCCTGGAACCCAGCCTGGGAGTCTGACTCCAGCCATAAAACCTGCCCTTATTGGGGGTGGTCACCCTGAGCCTGCCCCCAGCACTCCAGCTGCCTCCTCTGAGAGGGATGTCCTCACTCACCCTGCTCCCAGCTGACGTCAGAAGGACCTCACTTCTCTGAGTCTGTCTGCAGTTTAGGCCGTTTCCCATCCATTTTGGGGGCTGGCTGAGCCTGGGGACCGCATCGGCTGCCCTGACTGGGGCCCTAGGTGGGGGGGTGTCAGTCGCTTCTGTTTTCTCTTGTTGGAGAGCCTCAGGGTGAGGAGAGGGGAAACAACACCAGGTCCGGTCCTATTCCAAAGCCTCTGAGCAAATCACTTCCTGGCTCTGTGTGTTGTTTCCTCCTCTGAAAAATGGATTTAATAAGAGCCTACTGGACCCTGGGGGAGGAGCCCTGGTAGTGTAGGGGTTAAGCACTCGGTTAAAAGGTCCGCGGTTCGAACTCAGCAGACCGCTCCACGGAGAAAGATGTGGAAGTGGCGGTGGGCTTCAGTAAAGATACACAGCCTTGGAAACCTTGTGGGGCGGTTCTACTCTGTCCTATAGGGTGGGTCACTATGAGTCGGAATTGACTCGACAGCAATAGGTTTGGTTTTGGTTTGGGGCCCTGGGGATCCGGGAAGATGAAGGAGATAATGTGGGCGTGGGCCGCGCTGGGGCCTCCCTGTTTCCATTACACAAGCGCCGCCTCCCCATCCCCACCCTGGTGGCCTCTTGGGATGCTGGGGAGATAGAGGACCCCCTTCTGGGCCCTTGGGCCCTGCAAGGTCATCTCGTCCGTTCCTCTGCTTAGCACAGTACCTGGTACCTGGCAGACGCTCTATAAATATTTGTTGTTTGACTAACCGACTGACAGACTCAGCAGGTCATTTTTCCTTTTCCTCTTCCTACCCCTCTCCCCTGGCCGGCTGGCGCCCCACACTTCCCTCCCCCTAAGCCCAGCTCTACCCCAGTCCCACCCACCTCTTAGCCAAGCTGCCACCTTCCCGGGGGTCCAGGTCGCTACCGGCTCCATGGCCGAGCCCCGCAGCTCCGATCGGTGTCCTCTCGGTCCCGCCCGCGCAGGAATTTCCGCTCCCAGAGCCAGGTCCGGTAGGGGCCGGGGCGGATCCGCCGCATACCTGGGCCCACGTGGCCAGCCAGGTGCGGCACTGGCCAGCCACTGGCCCCTAGCCTGCCCATCAGCGGAGAGAACCCGCCTCCCCACTCCCGCCCCGCCCTTCAGGCGTCCTGTGCTCAAGCAGCTGAGCGCCCAGCCCAAGGGGCGGTGCCACAGGCAAGTCACCTGGCGACCTCAGAGTCGACCTAGGATCCTGCCCAAAACCGTCTTCAAATCACAGGGTGGGCCCCTGACCCCCAGGCTCTTAGGCAAGGGTCAGAAAGATAAGCGCTGAGTGCAGCAACAAAGCACAGAGGTTAGGGAGCCAGACCCCTGGGTGCAAGTTTCAGCTCTGCGGCTTGTTAGCTGTGTGACCTTGGGCTAAACCTAACCTCAGTGCATCAGTATCCTTGCCTGTAAAATGGGTATAATAGCCCCTACTCCAAGAGGGCTGCTGTACAGTACCTGAGTTAACAGCTCTGAAACCTTTAGAACAGGGTTTTTAAATCCTCTTTTATTTTTCACCATGGACTCCTTTGACAGTTTGGTGAATTTCTCAGAGTAATGCTTTTAAAAGCATAACAGAAAATGCTTACAAGGAGCACAATTATTATAAATACACATTTAAATACACAAATTTATGATTAGTAATGTGTTCATTAACATTAAACAACAAGACTAGTAAATTGAAGTTAAATTTTTCTGAAGGCTGTTGTTGCTCAGCTTGAAGAAGAACATTAAATTGTGGGGTGGTCTTTGACTCACCTCCTTCCACATATTGATCAGAAGACAACTAAAGATAGGGAGTGCAGGAGAGCAGTGCAGAAGCCTGGGTCACTGGTGTGAGTACAAGCAAATTCCCCATTTGGTCACTGAAGCTTACTGGGTGCAGAGTTGCCCACCATGGCCAGCTACATCACAGGAGTGTCTGAAACAGAAAGACTGCGATCAGGTGCGATTTAGTAGTGGGTTGATAATGATGATTTCAAAGTAGTAATGAGCGTAAACAACATTTTGAAATACTTGCAATAACTACAATTTGATATGAAAATACTTGTGATTTCTAGTGGTGACAAAGTCACAGATACTAATACTTCAATCCATAATTGAAGAAAATGGTAGTTTCAGTTAGAAGTTAGTGAATATAAAGATAGAATTGTTTTCCCATCCAAGTTTATGGGCCCCCTGAATTGTTAATCCTAGTTTGACCCCTCATCTTAAAAGCTGCCACTCCTCTATCAATCTGTCATACTGTGGTGGCTTGTGTTACTATGATGCTGGAAATATGCCATCAGTATTTCAAATACCAGCAAGGTCACCCATGGTGGATGGGTTTCAGCAGTTTTCAGACTAAGACTAGGAAGAAAGGCCTGGTGATCTATTTCTGAAAATTAGCCAATGAAAACATTATGGATCACAACAGAACACTGTCTGACACACTTCCTTGGGACATGTCATCAAGAACGAGCAATCACTGGAGAAGGACATCATGTTTAGTGAAGTAAAGGGCCAATGAGGGCATTGGTGAGACTCTTGGTGAGATGGATTGGTACAATAACCGCAACAATGGACTCAAATATGCTGGTGATTGTGACGATGATGCAGGGACGGGCAGCATTTCATTCTGTTGTACAAGGTCACCAAGAGTTGGAGCTGATTCAATGGCAACTGCTAACAACAACAACGTCTTAGAACAATGTCTGACACACACTAAGTGTTGCAGTTAGCACCATCATCATCATCATCCCAGGCCTGAAGACTCCCAGGATTATGAAATCAGAAGAAATCAGTCCTACATTCACTTGCTATGTGACTGAGCCCAACCCCTACACCTCTCTGAACCTGTTTCTTCCTCTCTAAAAGGGAATATCTACATCTTAGGCCTGTGAGAACATCACCTAGATCTTAGGGCTGCAAGAACATCCTTTTAAGTACTTTGAAATCTGTAATGCAGGGTTGTTGTTGGTTGCTGTTGAGTTGATTCCGATGCATGGTGACCCCATATGTGCAGAGCGGGGCTGCTCCATAGTTTCCAAGGCTGTGACCTTTCAGAAGCAGATCACCAGGCCTGTCTTTTGAGGCACCGCTTGGTGGGTTTGAACTGCCAACCTTTCGGTTAGTAGTTGAGCACTTAACTCTTTGTGCCACACAGTCTCCTATAATGTGGGTTTAATATTATTGATATTATTGTTATCTGAGTTAATATTGTTTTAATTGTATGAGGAGAGGTCTGGGAGCCTTCCCAGAGCTGGCCCCTCCCACCGTATCACCTACTTTGAAATCTCTCCCAAGGCTCCAACACCAGGCCTTCAAAGCCCGTCATGATCTTGCCCGTAACCTGAGACCTGAAGTCTGAATTTGGCCCACAGAAAGCCCATGCAGTGTGTTTTGGTTGTGAACATTTAATAACTGGTTGTGATAATCATTTCACATATGAATTGAGATCTCCAGCTTCTCTGGAACTTTGTCCTCTGTGGAGACCCTCCTCACCTTCACACATGGCATCATCAAACAGCTCATGTGGATCAGCAGCTGCTTCCTTCAAGTGGGACTTGAGCTCTCCAGTCCCACAGACCTGGCCTCCTCATTTGTGAGCCAGCAGGCTCCACAAGTGCAAGACCCTCTCACCTTACGGCTTCATCCTTCACTTCATGTCCTCATACCCTGCACTGTCCCTTGAACACTCCTTCAAGCTACATCCTCCTTTAACATCCTTGCCTCTTTGTACAACAGCCTCCCTGCAGTACTCTGGGGAAACCCGACACATTCTGTCTCCCCCACTCTAACTTAATCAAATACCCACCAGGCCCTAAGCTGGCACCAGATACTGAGATGAGAACCCAGTCAGTCCCTGCCTTCTCTGAACTCACAATCCTGTAAGTGAGAAACAGGCAAGAATTCACCACCACTCATTTATACTCACTATCCCTCCAAAACAGTTGGGGGCCTAATAAGCACAATAGTGCCTTCACTCTGCACCCAGTACCTGGCGGTGCCAGACACTTAGAAGCTCAGTAAATGGCAGCTTCTGTTTTAAAGGGTTTTATGAATTTGCAAAAGTTACACATATTTGTTGTAAACATGCCAAAAGTAACAGAATGGTATAACGTGAAAGTAGGATATGCCCTTTTCCCAGCATGCTCCTATCCTGCTCCCCAGAGGGGTCCACTGTTAAGTTTTCTGGGTGTCCTTCCATTCTCTACCTGTGCAGATACTCTACATACTGTTCTGCGAATTGCTTTTTCCCATTTTATGAGATAGTCGATAACAAATGAAATAATAAAGTGCTTAGAACAATGCCCAGCCCAGTCAGCTACTATTTTTTAAAATACCACAGATGGCTTTCTTAATCGGTATACAGATTTACCTTTTTGTTGTTTTTGGTTGCACAATAGCCATAAAATGAATGACGCATAAGCTAGTCCGTCATTCGCCTACCATTAGGCACTAAGGCCATTTTCAGATTTTTACCACTGCACAGAATAAACGCCCTTGTACGTGTTATCTTTGCCCAACTGTACCAGTACATCTGTAGGACAGACTCCTAGAAGTGAAATTCCCAGGCCAAAGGTGCACACATTTTACACACACTCTTTCATTGAGTCTTAATAACTTCAAGAGATATTGTTGTCCCTAAGTTGAGAGCAGGGAAAAGATGGAAGTGTCCCTATGGGAACTTGATCTTGGAGAGAGGGGTGGTTGATTTAACAGGAGCCACCAAGTGGAAAAGGCATGTGCTGTGTGGAGGGGTTCATAAAGCACCCTCCCCCTCCTTTGCTGAGAGCTGACTGGCGGGCACCCTATCATCTGAGGTAGGAGAAGGGCCCAGGCTGGGGCTTGGGGAGGCCCTCCCAGTACCTGGTCTGGACCTGCATCTCCTGAGCACTGCTGAGGCCTGCCTCCCCTGTAGCTGGGGGAGGTGCTGCTGCTCAGGCCTGATGCTGATCTCTCCTGACAGCTGCTCCTGAGGCTGGCAGGGCGGGCAGGGGGGTGGGGGGAAGGGACTGGATTTAAAGGTTCAGTTGCCCCACCCCCTGCCAGACCTGGGTGGGCAGGCGCTGGTGAGCATCTTCTGAGGGCATGGGTCCCACGATGGGTGGAGGTCAGGGATCTCAGTACCCTGAGCTCTAATCCTTGGCACCATGAACGCCACTGCTCCTCAAGCCCACCCTCACCCCACAGGCCACCAGGAAGACCAGTGTCCCCCACCATGCGATTTCGATGCCTGACCCCAGGCTACTTCCGAGTGCTACAGGTAAGTACCCCCAACCACTGGCTTCTGGCACCACTAACCCCCTTCCTCTCTCCCCCTACCATGGCTAAGTTGCAACCCCCACAGCCAGGCTGGCACGTTCCCTGCCGCCTGAGCAGCCAGGGCCCAGATAGGCAGTGAAGCGAGAGGGATTGGGGTGGAATCTCCCTGAGGCACCAGCGGTGTCCCTGTCTCTTTACCCAGCTGTACCTTCTCAGCCCTTTCCCTCCCTCCGCCTTCCCGGAAGTCTCACCTGACCCCCTAGGCGTACCCTCTGTGTACCCCCAGATGCAGGTAACTGGGGAACTGAAGGCAGAGTCCCAGAGCCCATTGGCTGGGATTGCAGCCACGCTGCTGGCTGTTCTTGGGCTAGGCGGCTCCTGCTATGCTGCCCAGAAGATGGTGGGGCAGCGACAGCCGCCACAGGCCCCATGATGAAGAGGGCAACCTCTCACTGCAGCTATCGGTAGGTGACTCAGGGAAGGGACTATAATCTCAGGAGCCCCCTTCTCTTCTGGGGGGTCAGTCCCCACCCTCACTGGATAAACCTGATCCTACCCCTACCTCCCCACTTCACCTGGGCTCTGTCTGGGGGCTCCAGCTCAATGCCAGGACCCCAGAAGGAAGGCAGGTGTACAGTTCCAAGGCTGGACCGAGTCGGGAGAAGATACCTTGGGCCCTGCATACAGGAGTAGGGAAACGCTTACAGGGCAGGAGTCTGAAGGAAGGTGGGAGCCCTGGCCTGAAAGTGAAGGAGTCAGAGGCAATCCCCTCTTTCTCCAGTTCCTTTATTGGGGGTAGGCACCGAGAAAAGTCCATCCACTCCCCAAACCCAGGGCCACAAGCTGTTGGTACAGTCCCGGCCTAGCCCTTGCATCACTGTCCATGGGCAGCTACTCTGCTCTGTATCCTCAGGGAGACGTGTCCATCTCTGGGATGTCAGTGGACACCTCTGTGGGCACCGGCAGCCGCTGGGGGGACACATAGGAGCCCATGCCCGCTGCCCTCTCTGCCTCTTCCTGACTGTAGGGCTCCACGCTCAGCTGCTTCAGCCTAGAGGAAGAAGATTAAGAGTTGGGAGCTGACCAGATGCAAGGCCTGCCTGCCCAGCACTCATCCATCAATCTTCTCCTTACTCCTCCATACCTTTTCTTGTGGTCTTTGGATCGAAAGTGGGTCCTCAGGTTGGCGGAATCGATGAAGTACCTCCTGTAGGGATGGGGGGTGAGGAGGAGAGTGAGGAGATAGTGCCCAGAGAGTATGCCTATCTCTCAGACCCCAGTTCGTTCCCTGACGCCAGGTTCCGGGCCTATGGGGATCGGAGGCGGGCAGATCCACGGGTCCCAAGACAGGAGACCTCACGTACCCCGGGGCCCCAACCTCACACCCCACGACCCGCACCGCAGACCCTCCTCCTTTCTAGGCCGGGCCTGGCAGGGACTCACCCGCAAGCCAGACAGCGATGCAGGCCTCCCCCTGGCAGGTCGGGGTCCGGCTCGGCCTCCGGGTCGGGCCGGGGCCGTGCGGGACCCTGCGACCGTAGCTCGCGGTGAATCTCATCCAGGTCGGGCCGCCGCCGCTTGGCCTTCATCTGGCGGGCCAGGGAGTGTGCTCGGTGCGCGCCGGTCCGGCGGGAGCGACCCATGGCCTGTAGCACCTAGGCCAGGGGTCCCGGAGCAGGGTTGATACCACACGTGTGGGCGGTTCCGGATCGCTCAATGACGTCACGAGACGCCGGGGAGTGGAGCAAGCTCGACAAGACCGCCTTTGATGACGTCACTCGCCAGCCAGGCGCTTGAGCGCCCTCAGGCGGTGGTGGACGTCGTTGACGAAGGAGCCCCGGGCTGGGCAGGCCAAGCGTACTCACTGAGGCCCTGGAGGCCCCGCGGGCCTTTGCTGGGGAGGGGCAGGGGGTGCATGTGGTTCAGAGGCTGAGGGACTGGTCTGGCTGCTCTGCCCGCCCTCGCCTGGCCCAACCTATCTCAGTGTCATCCGGCCCTATCACCTGTTGCTGGTTCCCAAACCTTAGACTCCGCGGTGGGAGGCATTAATAAATGTCTGTGACGGGAATAAATTGATAAGTGAATGAGAGTGCATGTTTGGATTCCAGCCCCAACAGAGCTTCCTGAGATTCCCCCAGTCACTGACAATGCCCTCTCACTGCTCCCCAGTTATCCCCTCAGGGCTCCGTCCTCCATCCATCTCCAGCCAAACCCCTGAGAGAGGCGTGTTCCTCCCCAGAGATCACAGTACTCAGGCATCCAGTCAAAAGGACCAGCTCCTCTCACAGGAGCGCTGGACTCCCTGGAGTGGGCTGGCTGCCAACGCAGAGACACAGCCTAAGTGTCACGTGCCCAGAGTGGAGCGAGGACCAAAGAGCCTTTGCCGTTCACGGGAACCTGGTGCTGCCCAGGCTGGTCGGAGCCAGCTCCTCGGAACTGCTCCGGGGAAGCTCAGCAATAATTCAGGGGCTCCAGATCTTTAGAACCTGTTGCCAGGAAACAAGGAGACAGGCATGTGCATCCCTGGGGAGAGGGAATCAGTTTCCAGCTCAGACAAAGCAGTGAAATGTAAGCCCAGGGCGCCTGCTGGGAGCCGGGGGACCTTCCCTCTCTAGTTCATGGAGGCTGAGTAGGGACACAGGGCATGGGCCTGCTGAGGGCACAGCTGGCATGGCTGCAGTCACAAGGGGCACGGTGTGGGTCCTGGGCCCAGATATGTTATGAATGGAAAAGAGAATTTTTCTGGAGCCATTCCAAGAGATCAACCTCAAGTACTCCTAGGCCCAGGAAGGAGGCCTCTGTGGAGAAAGATGTCTTCATTCTTGGCCAATATGGGTCAAGAAAGAGGCTGAGGTGGCAGAAACCCTCACCCACTCCCACCCCAGACTCCATTGGATTGGGTTCACCAGCTGGGCGCTGTGCCAGCAAGGAAGCTAGTGTATCTTTAATGAAGTCACTTGATCCCTGGGGCAGTCTCTTGGGCTTGCCAAGTTTCTGGAGCCAGAGCCAGTGGGTGCCCACTGAGCCACTGCCTTCCTGTGCTTGGGTACTAGACCCGTTTCCCCTGCAGCCATGAACCAGGCTTTCTGGAAAACCTACAAGTCCAAAGTGCTACAGACCCTGAGTGGGGAATCTGAGGAGGACCTGGCAGAGGAGGTAGGTAGCATCCATGCCCGCTTGTGGGGGCACAGGCAGAGGGGCAGCAGGAGTGATAGGTATAAAGAAGGGCAGAGGACAGGCTCTGAGAAAGAGAGGCACAATTGTGCAGAAACCATTGGCATATTCAGGGGATGCCATGGTGCAATGTCAGAAAGCCAGGACACCCAGGAAAACTGAGAAAGAAGAGAGGACTTGGGGAACATGGGAGAAGTGGTCTCCAAAGATCTCAAGGACTGCCACATGGGAGAGATTCTTCTTGGATTAGTGGGTAGTAGCCACATGGGGTACACATCAGCTTGACACAGCACAATGGGCAGCGCTGAGCAAAAGTAGCATGGCTTGCTTGACAGATAGTGACCCCCTTATTACTAGAGGTAGAGATAGTGGTGCTTGTACTCTGAGGGTCACTGTAGCAGCATCAGATCAGAGCTGTATGTGGAGCATGCATTGTTCTGACATAAAAAGATCAAACAAGGCTCTGAAACAGGTAACTGTCTTGTGTCTAGAGACTCTGATAGATGGTAGTCGTGCAAATAAATGTGGCAGGGGCAGGAACTAGTCCTGTGGGGTGTGTGTGTGTGAATATGTCTAGACAGTTTGGTGTTTGAGGCTGAGCTTGTAGAGAAGTGTCTTTGGGTGGTACTGGGGTTGGCGTCTGGCCTGTGTGGAATCCCCAGTGAAGGAGTGTGTGCAGGTGTGAATTGAGTAGAGGTATTTTCAGGTGTGTACATTTGAGGCAGAAGTCTATGCCTGCTTGCCTCTGTGCAGGCATTTTTGGATGTTGTGTTTGTGTGGTATGTGTGTTTAGGTGCGTGTGAACATCTGTGTCCTGGTGTCCTGGGTGGGTGGAGAGGTTTTGTGTGCTGTGGGTGGACCTCTGTGAAGCTGTCTGCAGTCGTATAAGTGTACAAGTGCACAAGTATGAATGACATAACTGTGTGCACACTCATTACAGATGCCTCACACCACATACATCTGTGTTCAGGTGTGACGAGCTGTAGCTATGTAGAGGCATGCTCGTGTACAGGCGTGTGTCTATGTCAGCATGCATGCCCTTGTCCACACGTCTTTGGGTGTGTATGTAATCTGTTCATCTGTGGGTAGGCATGCAGATGTGTGTGCTCAAGGGTGTCTGCAGGGATTTACTATACAAGAACGTGTATGTGACTGGTAACTTTGTGTAGAAGTATACCTGTATACATTCCCATGTGCCTTTGTGGAGGGTGTGAGGTATATAGATGTGTGTGTAGTTCTGTGGAGTTTGGGGTACCTGGTTTATGTGTGCCAGTCTTGCAGGGGGCATTCCTCTGGGGCCTGTCATGCCGGGTGGGGGTCTTGTGTCCCAGAGGGAGACCCCAGTGTTGGTGGAGTCTGAGACGGCAGAACCAGCTGAAGAGGCCTTCAATCCCATGGCACAGCTGGCCCGCAGGGTGAGTTCTTCTCCCTCTTCCACCCCCAACCTGGTCCTGCCCCTGGGAAGCCTGGCAGAGGCTGCTGTGGAGTCCTGGGAGGTTGTGCTGGGGCCAGTTCCTGATACCCAGCCCCTCCCTCCCAGGTTCAGGGGGTTGGGGTAAAAGGTTGGCTGACGATGTCATCTCTGTTTAACAAAGAAGACGAGGACAAGCTGCTGCCACCGGAGCCCTGTTCAGACCAGTATGTGTGGGTGTGGGTAGGGGGTGTTCTGGGAGGGGCCTAGGGTCCCCCTTCTCCAATGTCCTTTCCATCTAGTCTATCTTTCCTACCACAGAGGGCTGGGGAGGGGCAGCCCCTGGCTCTTTCCCTTTCTCTCAACAGAAAAAAGGCCAAATCAGCAAATCTGGGAGATTAGGTTACATCTCAGGAAGAACTTCCCAGCTGTTGGGGTTGGGGTACTAGAAAGTATGTATGGGCTCTCTCTCTTCATCCACTTGGGAGGGGTCATCTCCCTAGAATCTTGGAACAGAAGAGAGAAATTTAGGTGTTTGGAACAGAGGGTGGTCCAGATCAATGGTTCCCAAATATTCATCTAATCCTCATCCTCCCTGGGAGTTGTGACAAACACAAATTCCCAGAACCACCTTCAGAAGTTCTGATTCAGCAGGTGTGGGCTGAGGCCTGGGGAACTGTATTTTCAGCAAGCTCGCTGAGGATCCTAAGGTACACTGGTTTGGAACATCACCGTCTTAAAGGTCTTTGATGCTGGGGAGAAGGCATTGGGAGTTGGCCTCAGTCTCTGGCACACATCCCATCTCTTCCTTTCTATCCCATCCAGCTCTCCCGCCGCAGGGTTTTCCTTTCTTCCTCCCCTACACTCAGTCTCCCTCCCAGTTCTCCAAGGACTCTTCCCCAGACCTGAAGGCTCCCACCTCAAGCCTCATCGCCCCTCCTTGATTGGCCTTCCACTCACATCTCCCTGCTAGCTTCCCAAGTCCCTCGCTCCCCTAAACCACTAATCTAGGCCTTTCTCCTTCCCTCAGGGTCTCTCCACCCTTCTTTCTCCCCAGTACTCCATTCCTTTCCTATCCCGGCTTTCCCTCAATCTTCGAACCTGACCTCTTCCCCCACCCCGCCCCTTTCCCCAGGGCTCCACCCCTGCTTTCCTGGAGCTCCACCTCCAGAGCCTGACCCTGCCCCCTCCAGTGGGCTCTTAATCCCCGCCCCCACTTCTCTCCCACGCCTCCTTGGGCCCCGCCCCTCTCTCAGGGCTCTTCTGGCTTCTCTGACTTTGCGCCTCTTTCTCTCCTCCTGGTCTTTTCCCCAAACCTCTGGCCCTGCTCTCTCCCTAAGGATCCTGCCTCTGGTCCCATCTCCCCAAATCTCTTGCCTTATCTCCCGACCCTGGCCCACCCTAATCCCTTCTCAGCGCTCTGAGCCCGCCCCTCGCCTCTACCGCCAGACCTCGTCCCCTCTCTCCCGGCCCTCTCCAGTCAGCTGACCCCGCTCTACACTCCAGTCCCTGACCTCGCCCTTTCTCCCCCGTCCCCACTACTTGTGCCTTGACCCCGCCTCCGCTCATTTATTCCCTCCCTGGGCCTCTCTCCTGCAGCCCCCTGGCGGCGCGGCCCCCCTCGCAAGCAGCGGCGGAGGCGGAGCCGCGCGGACCCGGCTTCTGGGACGCGTTAGCCAGCAGGTGGCAGCAGCAGCAGGCGGCAGCGGCGTCCATGCTGCGTGGCGCAGAGCCCACCCCGGAGCCGGACCCCGAAGCCGGGGATGAGGCCGCGGAGGAGGCAGACGAGCGCCCGGAGCCACGGGAGGCCGACCCTGCGGCCGGCTTCAAGTGGGGCTTCCTCACCCACAAACTGGCCGAGATGAGGGTGAAGGCTGCCCCCAAGGGCGACTAGCCGGCCGGCGGAACTGGGCACCTGCTCCTCCCCGCCCCGCATAAAAGCCCCTGGCCCGACACCCCTTGTGGCTGCCTGCTTTTGTCCAGACATCGAGGAAGGCTGCTTTTGGGTGGGGCGGACCTCGGAGCGGGGTCCAGCCGGAGGGGTCTTCACCTTCCCCCACAAACATACAGGAAGAAAATGAATGACCAGAGACAGCCAGGATAGCTAATGTATCAGAATAGATAGTGCTAGATTTAAGGTACAACTTTCCAAGAAGCTGGGGAGCCCCAGAGGACAGGCTCCATTGCCCAGACCGGCCTCTTTCACTTCAACAGATGTTGCCTGTGGCCCTACTATGTGCGCGGCCCCTGTATTGGGGTAAAGGCAGAGACTAAAGGCACTCAGACTACCAGCGGCTCCCACACAAGGTGACAAGAGCTCAAGTTGAGCCACAAAAATAGTGGAAGCTCAGAGGAGGTGAGGGGGGCTGGGGAATTCGGGAAGACTTCGTAAAGCAGAATATAGATCCGCCACATCTCAGCCCTTCATACCTAGTGACCACAAGGGGGCAGCAGAGTTCCGGGAATGGGGGCATTTTAGAAGTCGGTGGGCTCCAAGACTGAGGACCCCAGATTTCTGGAGTACACCTCTCTCTAGGACTCCCCAAACGTTCTGTTCCCAGCTACCAGCTCTAGTTGAGACCTACTTGGGGCCCATGGAGGAGATAATCATAATACTTGCCGTGGAATAGATTCCCACTCATAGTGATCTTATAGGACAGAGTAGAACTGCCCCACGGGGTTTCCAAGGAGCCGCTGTGGATTCGAACTGCTGATCTTTTGGTTAGCAGCGTAGCTCTTAACCACTGAGCCAACAGGGCTCCAAAAGCCCATTGCTGTCAAGTCGATTGCGACTCATAGCGACCCTATAGGACAGAATAGGACTGCCCCATAGGGTTTCTAAGGCTGTAATCTTTACAGAAGCAGACTGCTACATCTTTCTCCTGCTGAGTGGCTGGTGGGGTCGGACCTCCAATCTTTTGGTTAGCAGCGAGCATTTAACCAATGTGCCACCAGGGCGCCTTGAAATTTGTTGCTGTCCAGTCACTTCCGACTCACAGTGACCCTATAGGGCAGAGTAGAATTGCCCCATAGGGTTTCCAAGGAACGATTGGTGCATTCCAACTGCTGACCTTTTGGTTGGCAGCTGAGCTCTAACCACTGCGCCGCCAGGGCTCCTTGATCATAATACTGTAATATTAGTACTAATTCGGTAGTTTGCCGTATGCTTTACAACCATTTCAAAATACTTTAAAATCATCTATACTCCCCGCTATTCCCATCTTTTTTTTTTTTTTTTTTTAACCGAGAGGTGCAGCTGCGGCTCGGAGAGGTTAAATGCTCGCCCAGGGTCACGGCCAGCCCAGAACCCACACTCCAAAGCCCACCCGTTTAACCACGCAAACCCTCGGTGCCCCCTTCCTCAACATCTGCCCGGTAATCCAACCACACGACCCGTTTAAAATAACGTTTTAGCTTTATTCAGCAGTTCTCTGCTCTTCCACCCTAGTCGTTACTCCCCAGGCCCAGCCTCCACAGAAGTCACGCGCCGCCTGCCCGGGGAAGGGCATTTTGTCCAATCTCCCCAGGGTTCTGATGGGAAAATCGAGACCTTGAGGGAAGAGCTTGCCCAAAGGTCTCCCGTGCGTCTGAGGCAGGGCGTCCCTGCCGGTGCCCGGGTCCAGCCCCGGCCCTGCGGGAGCCAGCTCAGTCACACCTCCGACTCGCGCGGCGGGCCTCGGGCGCGCTGGCAGCCGTACAGCCACTGGATGACGCGCGCGTTGCGCTCCACCACCGACACAGGGGGGCGCCCGTCCCGCGCCGAGCCCGCCACCTCCGCGCCGCCGCCGCCGCCGCCGGCCTCACCGTCTGGGCCGTCTGCGCCGCTGTCGCTGGACGTCCAGTCGCTGGTGTCCCCGGAGCCGGGCGGCGGCGGCGTTCCGGGCTGGGGACTGGCGTCGGCGCCCCAGCTCTGCGGAGAGAAGCGCTCAGCGCCGAGCACCTCCACCAGCGCGCGCTCCAGGCCGCAGTAGTTGAAGAAGCGTTCCTTCTCCGACAGGGGCAGCGAGCACGTGGGGCACAGCGCCCGCTTTCCTGTCGCTTCCGGCGCATCTGGGGTCGCGGCCCAACCCCCAGGAGCCGCGGGTCGCTCCGCTGGGCCTGGGCTGCTGGAGGTGGCGTCCCGGGGGGCGCCCGGGAAGAGGCGTCTCACCAGTCCCTGGCCCTTGGCGTTCTCTTTGTTCACCGAGGCCTTGCAGTCTCGCTTCTGGCGGTAAAAGATGAGAGAGTCAGGCCTTGGCAGCCGCCTGCCACTGCCCCGGCGGGCGGGTCCGGGCGTCCTGGGCGATGCAGGGGACCCCAGCTCATTGCAGGGGTGCGGGGTGAGCGGCCCGAGTGCCCCAAGCAGGGCTGGCTCCTGGCGCCGCACTATCACTTGATGCGTCTTGACATACTTGGCTTTGTCGGCCTCCAGTCTCTCCACGGCGCTGGGGGTCCGTCCCCTGGACGGGGTGGAGGGAGGAGCCAGGAGCATCTCAGAAGAGCTGGGTTAGACAGTGCCCCATAAGCCGCAGGAGGTAGGCAGCCAGCTGAGGAGCTGAAAGCAATTGGCTGGGGCTCCCTCAGGCCTGCAGGGAGAGAGGAATGGTTGGGAGAGGGTAGGAGATATCCCTGCCCCTCTCAAGCAGGCCTTTCTGGGGATAGGATCGTCCAGCCCCCTCCCCTATCCAAGTAGGCCGGATGCCATGCCAGGCGGCAGAGATTCAGGCCATCTTCTTCTTTCCCCCCAGATCCGTTCAGTGGGGCCTCCCTGGCCACCCAGAAACATATGCCCCTTTGAGGGTGCCCCAGTCTGGCCACAGGGCCATGCCAAGCACGCATCGGCAAGCAGAGCACTTGAAAAAGGAAGTGGGGCTGGTCTCGGCCCAATTCCCGAAAGTGGCCCTCACCGGAAAAAATACCTCTTCCCAGCCCAGCAGCTTTGAGTCCAAGACAAGGAGGCTCCCCAGTGCCGCAGGCTGCCTCCGGCAGGACCCACCCTTCCCTCCCCCAAGCACCGAGGTCAGGGCTATAAGCACAGGGTAGAAGCCTCCTGTAATTGCAGCCAACTGTCCTGCCCACTTCGGAAGGAGAGGGAGGTGGTCACCAGGTCATGTCAGCCATTGGCCTGCCACCCACTCTTTGCCCTTGCCAAGGGAATTCTAGAAGGTTCAGCTGTAAACATCACTTTATCTAACCTCTGCATTTGGAATTTCATAGAAGAGGAAACTGGCCCAGACAGGAGGGGGCTTGCTCATATCAGACTGAGAGTCAGGTCTGTTGCCTTGCAGTCCAGAACTAGTTCAGATTCTGTCTCTCCCTTGCCTCTCAGCACTTCCCTCTGATAGTTGGCTTCTATTCCTGCTGCTGTAACTACCAAGCAATTTCCGTTAGAAACAGGCCCTTTGCCTCACTAAAAAGTTTCTTCCGCTAATTCTTCCCAATAACCTGCACTCCCAGAAATCTCCCTCAGGGTCCCTGCCCCCTTCTCATCCGGAGACCCTGTGACCTTCCTCCTCCACCTCCCTTCTGCTGGGGAAGGGACCAGGAGGGGTTGTAAATCAAGAGGTGACAGGTCCGTTGGCAGTAACAGAATGGGCCACCCACATGGCTCAGGACCCCCCCTCCCCACACACACACACCAGGGTCCAGCTGAGAGGGACACACCAGTCCTGGGGGCTGAGGGGAACTTGGATCTGGAGGCAACAAAGGAAGAGAACCAGCCAGGGATGGAGGGAGGGGAGCCCAGGTGGGAGGCCTGGGGGCAGAAACCCTGCCTCCCATGCCCGCTCCAGCACAACCTGTTCAGCTTTCCTCATCCCCTTTCCTATCTGTTGTTAGTTGCCATCGAGTCAATTCTGACTCATGGCGACCCCATGTGTGCAGAGTAGAACTGCTCCACAGGGTTTTCAAGGCTGTGACCTTTCAGAAGCAGATCACCAGGCCTGTTTTCCAAGGCGCTTCTGGGTGAGTTCGAACCGACAACCTTTCAGCTAGTAGTCAGTGCGTTACCATTTACGCCACCCAGGGACTCCTCCTCCCATCTCGTTGGCTCCATAGGTAGTTGGTGATGGGAACCCAGGTAGCAAGGAGAGCCTGGCAGTGTCCCCCTTTAAGTCTCCCTAGTACTATATTGAGCAATGGTCAGATTCCAAGGTCCCAGGAGGGCACTGTGCTTGTCTGACCTCAGGGATATCCTCGGTCCCCTCCTCCTCTCCCCAGCCCTGAACAGCGAGGCTATAAAAAGCCCCTAAACACAGGGACCAAAATAATCTCCTGTCCACTGCTTCTTTCCTGCTTTCTGGGCTGGCCTCGCTCCCTGCCCACAGACGTTCCACCCTAGTACACGCAGAGCCTTCCTTTGCCCTCCATCTCTTTGCCCACCTTCTCCCAGTCCTGGGCTTAGTGGTCGGAGGGCTGCTCAAGGCTTCGGCTCCGGAGGTGGGGTGTCTTCTGTGCTCACTGGCTTGGCGCCAGCCTACAGGTCCTCTCATTGGGTCTACAGGTCCTCTCCCACCTCAGCCTTGTCAGCAGACACTCACCTCTGTGTGGGGAGGCAGAATTGCAGGAGTCCCCAGGCAAGTCCGAACTGAGGGTAGGAGGGACAGCAGGGACTGGAAGTAACTTTAGTGGCAGCCAAACCTCACTCTCCACAGGAAAAGTGGAGAGAGCCTCCACCCCCCCAGATTAACCCTCGCCTTCCTGACCCAGAGCCTGGCCTCCATTAACTCCTTCCTGATCACAGTCTCTCAGAGTTGGAAAGGACCTGGGGACCAGGTCCAGCTCCTTTATTTTACAGATGGTCAAATAGGCCCTGACAAGTTAAGTGATTTGCCACAGAGGCACAGTGGTCTTGGGGCACAGCCAGGACCCCAGACAGAAGCTCCTGATTCCCAGACTTCTCTGAAGACCCTGGTCAGCCTGCTGGGCCTGACCTTGGCAGATGCTGCTACAACTGGAATGGGAAGGCAGAGCCAGGTTCTAGTTGCCTTGCTTTTCTTCCTCATACATCGCAGGTTCAGACTTGTCCTGGTAGAGTGTGCGGATGGTGTGGAGCTTGCTCTCTTTTGGGTGAGGCCAGGAATTGCAGCCCGCAGGCAGTGGTGCTGCAGATGTGCAGGGTGAACCTGCCCCAGCAAGTCATGGCAGGAAGGTCGTCTAGGAGCCCATTGGAGGTGCTTCTGCCCAAGGTCTCTGATGCCAAATGCGATTGGCTGGGAAGAGGGGGAGGGGGAGATGACTTGGGCCAAGCCTAGGTCCTTCTGACCCCTTCCTTCTCTGCCCCCACTTGGGGACATCTAGAGCTGGCACAGTCTCCAGGTGAAGCCCTGCCCCCACAGTGCTGATACTATGGAAGCTCTTCCCTCTCCCCTGCAGGTAAGCTCCCCAGCATCCAGAGCTTCAAGACCAATGCCCCTACCACAAAGGTTGCTGCCCAGTCTCCAGTTGGCCCCTTCCATAAGTCCCTTCCCTTCCCTTCTAGCTCTTTTTAAAGTTTGCAAAGCACTTTCACATCTGTGCTCTCTGACCTCCTTTGACCCTCCCATCACCCAAGACAGACAGGGGACCCAGCAGGGAGGACCAGCCCCACTTCATGGGTAAGGAAATGAGATCAGAGGGGGAAAGAGACTTGCCCAAGGCCCAGCTCTAAGTCCACTCTTTCCACTGCACTTCTGCCTCTCAAATAAGATAATGAGTCTGGAAACCCTATGGCCCATCACCTGGTAAGAGATTTTTATTAGTTAAAGGGAGCTTTCTGTTTTGTTTTTGTCTGTGATAATCTCATATTGTGTTGTCACAATTAATCCCCAGGAGAATCTTTGGGGAGTAGGTTCCACTATATTCCCCATTTTACAGCTGAAGAGACCAAGGCTCAGAGAGATGAAATGACTTATCCAAGCTCACACAATTAAGAATAATAGCTAACTTTTATTGAGAGATTACTCTATGCTAGATGCTCTTCACTTCTTTAAAGTGTTAAAAAGCAAAGATGTCACTTTAAGGACTAAGATGTGCCTGACCCAACCCATGGTATTTTCAATCGCCTCATATTCATGTGGAAGATGGACAATGAATAAGGAAGACAGAAGAAGAATTGATGCCTTTGAATTGTGGTGTTGGTGAAGAAATTGAATATACCATGGACTGCCAGAAGAATGAACAAACCTGTCTTGGAAGAAGTACAACCAGAATGCTCATTCGAAGGGAGGGTAGAGAGATTTCGTCTCACACACTTTGGACATATTATCAGGAGGGACCAGTCCCTGGAGAGGGACATCATGCTTGGTAAAGTAGAGGGTCAGTGAAAAAGAGGAAGACCCTCAAGGAGATGGATTTACACAGTGGCTGCAACAATGGGCTCAAACATAGCAGCAATTGTGAGGATGGTGCAGGGCTGGGCAGTGTTTTGTTCTGTACGTAGGGTCACAACAATAAGACGCTCTTCTAAGCACTTTACACATTGATTAAAGTATTGATCTTCACAACAATCCAATGAAGTGGGTATTTTTATCCTCCTAATTTTATAGGTAATGGTTGGGGGTGCAGGCTGGTAGCCCTGAGATCTGGTCATGAAGGGGTTAAGCACTGGGAGGCTGGGCTGGGCCCAGCTGGGATGCTGTCAATGGCAGGAAACCTGGCTTGGGAAGGGGGAGGATGGGGCTGTTGTGTCTGACTCTTGATGCAACCCCCATCCCTTTGGTCTTAAAGGAGCATTTGATTTGGGTGGAAGGGCCGGCAGGGGCCCAACTTCCAGCTAGAGGACAGATGCTGGGCTATGGAAAGAGGGGATTCAGGGAACCAGTGCGATGCAGGTGCTGCCTAGGGCAGCCCCTGGTCTGCGAAAAGGGACTCCTGACTCTGTCCTACACTCCGGAGCCCCCAGTCAGAAGAGATGCTGACCCCCTCAGTCAGAGGGGAGAGACACAGCCACAGCCCTGGGAGCCCCCAGTCAGAGCGGAGTGACACAGCTCTCCCTTAGAAGTCTCCTGTATGTGTGTCTCAGGGGAGTGACAGACAGCTCCCTGGATACCGAGCCTCTAGCACACAGGCAGAGCAGAGGAGAGGTCAAACTGGAAAAGCTTTCTGGGTGAGGGGCCCTGAAAGAGTCAGAGGGTTCTAGAGAAGATAAGGAGGTGGGGCTACATCTGCCTGGCTCTGTCTCTCTGCCACACTTGCTGTGAACCGGATCATCTCTCTTCCTGGTCTTGGGTCCCCAGGGAGAGCCTTAAAGTGGCTCCTTCCGGCCCTAGAGCTGTGCAAGGGGGGGCCTAGTCTGAGGGCTGCTTCCTTCCTCTTTTGGGACCTCATTCCCGGATCACCTTGAGGATTGATCAGGAATGGCCTGAGTCAGAACTATCTCCTTCCAGGAGAGGGTGGCAGGGAGGATGAGGAGCAGCTCTTGTCAATGTCGGGAACAATGAGCTGGGGGAGGGAGGCCCATCAGATCCAGCCTCAGATCCCGTACTCACATATCACAGAGAAGAAAACATGTACCACCGCCCTTGCCCCTGGCTACAGCCCCCCTCCTCAGCTCTCCACACCTCGGCTCTGCCTTTGATTCAAATCCTGGTCTACCACTCACTGGCTGCGTGGCCT